CCCCCCGAGATTCGGATAATTCCGGATCTCCTTACCTTCCGTCGCGCCCTCAAGACATGGCTCTTTCAGCAAGCGGACCTGACCTAGGGTGGATTTTATACTGGGTTTTTTAGGAATTTGGAAGACGCAACTTTAAATTTGGTTTAATTCGGTTTTAAGGGGGGGATTGTATATATGTTTTGGTTTTAAGTATGTTGTGTGCCGCCCTGAGTCCCGTCGGGAGAAGGGCGGCATATAAATTAAATTAAATAAATAAAAATAAATAAATAAATCCAGGTAGGCTTATGCATAGCAATCCAAATGAGCGCACACCTGATTTAAGAAGAAGGTCAGCTTTTCAGGATCCCCATCGAAAATGGGCTTGATGGGAGGTGGCTCGAATCTTGGTGGGGCCACCTGCGCCTGCTGCTGAACCTGGGCGACATTCTGGTCCTGGAGGCATGGCCGAATCACTCTCTGGACCTCTCTTGGCTGGGCTCCAGGACTGGCATACCGAAACCGTGGCAGTGGGCTTGGCTGGGGTACAGGACTCAGTATCGCAGCTGGTGGGGGGATGGGTGAAGTAGCGTGGGCTCCAGCGGTTGGGCTGGAACTCTGGCAAGGGGGAGGGAGAGATGGATAGGTTTTGGCATTTCTTCCCACGGCACCCACCTCCTGGGCAATAGGAATTATATCTTTTATCTCCAACCAGTCGAACTTCTCCTTCAGCTGTTTGAGCAAGGGGCTGTGGATTGCTGATTGAAATCTCCATTCCCCAGAGTCGTCCCATCCCATTGAGCCCTTTCTTTCCATCCGCAGACGAAGAACCCTGAAATGACAGCAATAAAAGCTCCTCTCCAGTGGTGACAGGAGTGCTCCTGCGCTGAGGGGCAGCCTCGGCTTGAAAGAGGTCCGCTAAGGCTGTAGCTCCTTCCTGCGGTACCAGCTTCTCAGGTTGGATCAACCTGGTTTTCGGCCGAGCCACTGCCAGTGACGCCTCCTCGGTGGCTGGAGCACCAAGTTATGCTCCGACAGCCTGAGTCCCATTGCTGCTAGCAACAGTTTCAACTTTCTCCTCCATCTCAAGTTTTCACCGGGTCTTTACCGCTCTTCCCAAAGTGAGTGGACAGGCGGCCAGGGCCCAGCACCCCAAGAAATGAAGTTTTATGAGACTTGGTTTAATGTTATGATTCCGATCGACAGAGACAAATAAAGCAGAACTCCGAGGCTTGCAAATTCTTCAAAGAACATGTTTATTGATACAGAGTATCGGCATTTAAAAGTGAAACCAAGTCTGAAGAAATGCATAACCATTCCCCAATACAAAGTTAAGAAATCCCACCCCTAAAGCTATGCAAGCAACCAAATTTCCCCATTCAGCTTGTTGGTGGGCTTTTCATGAAATGCCCAGCCTGCAGTCTCAGGAGCAGCCGATGACCTTAGTTCCCATGAGAGAAAGTTGAAGAGAGAAAGTTTGTTTTGACTAGCGCAATACCTGGCAACCCCCCTTCCCTCCATGCTGTGTGGCAACTAGGAATGAGAAGGAAAAAATGGCTGCAGCCATGCTCATTCTAAAGTTGACATTATTATTGAGAAGGACCTCTCTTTCTTTTGTGGATAAAAGTCCCCAAACTTGGAATGTGTGTGTGTGTGTGTGTGTGTGTTGTGCATGTGCACACTTGGCTGCCAGCAGTCTGTGGAGGCGAGGAGGTTGTGTGGCACCAAATTGTCCTCATGTCGAGTTAGTCGGTGCAACTTGCTCCCTACTGACCCAGCTGTCCCAAGTCAGCGGAGCTGGGCCGGCTGCACTTACCTGACCACGCCTACCCAGCCACGTCCACCTGGCCATACTGAGTCAGCCACACTGAGTGAACAGCAACGAACCGGCCAGTTGAGCTGGCCATGCCTCCCCAGCCACATCTAACTAGTCGCGGTAACTGGGCTGTGACCACCCAGCCACGCCTACCCAGCCATGCCCATCTGGGCCTTTGAGGGCAACCATAATACTGATGTGGCCCTCAGTGAAATTGAGTTTGACACCCTGATCTAGCTGAATTTAACTTCTCTCTCTTTTCCCTTGTCTCTTGTATTAAATTATCTAGGGCAATTATCGCTTTATGAAACTTTTACTTGCTCATAGAGCAAACTGGATGAAGAAGGATTTGGAAGAAATCATTCCTTTACACCTAACTACCCAACATAAGAGTCCAAAGTGCTTAGCTTTGTTGCTAAAGTATATGGCACCAGGAGAAGTAGATACACAGGACAAGAACAAGGTAAAAAGTGTTTGGTAAACAGAGCTATTTATTTGAAAATATTCTACCAAAGCTTTCTCAGAAGCTTTAACCAGAGCAAACAGTTTAAAATAGCTGGTCTATTTTAATTGATGGAATTCATTTGATCATTTTTACATTAAAAATATAGCTAACATCAAGAATCATAAATCTAAATCTAGAATCTCTAGAGAAATCAAGTCAGTATTGTTCTGAATCAATTTTATATTTTCTCAAATAATGCAAAAATATTAGCAAGCAAGGAATTAATACTTTGCATTCCATTTTTGCATATCCATAAAACAGCTGAAGATTATAGTTGTGCAATTAGCTATAGCCAGATGTTAAACAGAAATTTGCTGTTTTCTGTTAACTAAGTACTTACCTTCAATTGTGTTCAGACTCTGAAATTTATGAAAATAATTATCTTTAAATCAGTGGTTCTCAACCTGTGGGTCGGACCCCTTTGGGGGTTGAACGACCCTTTCACAGGGGTCACCTAAGACCATCGGAAAACATATTTCCGATGATCTTAGGAACCGAGACACTGCTCCTCTATCTCCTTGCCCTCCTCTTCCTCCTCCCCTTCTTCCTCCTGGTGCCCCCCGGGCGGCTCGGGCAGGCGCCGGGACAAGAGGGGTGCCTGGGGGGAGCAGCCGGGCTGGCAGAGGGGCTGGCAGGGGCCGCACAGTACCAGCCCCCACCACAGCTCCATTGGATGGACAGAGGGAGAGGCCAGGCAGCGCGGAGTCCTGGCTAGGGTGATGGCAGCTGTTTCCTCCTTCTCCTCCTCCTCCTCTCCTTCTTTCTCCTGGTTTTCCCCAGGCGGCTCGGGCAAGTGCCGGGGCAAGAGGGTTACCTGGGGGGGAGCAGCTGGGCTGGTGGAAGGGCTGGCAGGGACCGCGTGGCACCAGCCCCTGCCACGGCTCCATTGATGGGCAGAGGGCGAGGCCAGGCAGTGCGGAGTCCCGTCTGGGGCGGCTGCTTCCTTGCCCTCCTCCTCTCCTTCCTCCTGCTGCCCCCCAGGCGGCTCGGGTGGGCACTGTCCCCACCGCAGCTCCATTGATGGGCGGAGGGCGAGGCCGGGCAGCGTGGAGTCCCGGCGGGGGCAGTGTCTGGGCTGGGGGCGGCGGGGACCCCCGACGATGCAGCTGTAAGAGAGAGAGAGAAAGAGAGAGAGGAAAGAGAGAGAAACAGAGGAAAAGAGAGAGGAGAGAGAAAGAGAAAGAGAAAGAGAGAGGAAAGAGAGCGAAAGAGAAAGAGGGAGGAAACAGAGAAAGAGAGAGAGGAAAGAGAAAGAAAGAGAGGAAAGAGAAAGAAAGAGAGGAAAGAGAAAGAGAAAAGGGGAGAGGAAAGAGAAAAAAGAGAGGAAAGAGAGAGAGGGAGAGGAAAGAGAGAGCGCGGAAAGAGGGAGGGGAGAGAGGAAAGAGAAAGGAAAGAAAGAGAGAGACAGAGAGAGACCATTTTGACATCTAAAATGAAGATAACACTGCATATATCCTTGTTTACTTTTATTTTATATATACACACACACAAACACAAATACATACATACATACATACATACATACATACATACATACATTAAAGGTAAAAAAGGATATATGCAGTGTTATCTTCATTTTAGATATCAAAAGGGTTTTGCGGCTCCCAGTGTTTTGTTTTCGGTGGGAAACGTGTCCAAGTTGCTCTTTGAGTGTTTTGGGTTGCCTACCCCTGTCCTAAGGGAGGCTGGGCTGCTTCGCGGCCCTTTCCGCGGAGGAGGCTGAACTAAGCTCTGCCGGCGCTGTCGCCCTCTTGGCTCTCTCTCTCGCTCTCTCTCTCACTCTCTCTCTCTCTCCCTCTCCCCGCCTGGGTGCTTCTCCAACCAGGCTGGGCGGAGCCGGCAGAACGGCCTTCCTGCCCCCCCTCCCTGGCCAGCTGGATGGGGGTTGGGGGTCACCACAACATGAGGAACTGTTATTAAAGGGTCGCAGCATTAGGAAGGTTGAGAACTACTGCTTTAAATAATGTATTTCTATTATTTTAGTTTATTTATTATTATTATTTTTTATTGAAAATTTTATAAAAGTTTTACAATATAATTCCCCCCTCCCCAGAACCCACCCTTCCCCTCCCCCTCCCTCCCCCCCACTTCCCAGAGCCAATCACAGGGTTAACAATACAATAACCATACTCTATCTAACATTAATCAACTATTAGATTAACAAATCTGTAACATCCTTTAACTCTCTTTTAAACAAATATACTAATATTAAACACAATAATTGTAACATCATATTAATAATTATAAGTAAAAATAAGTGACCTATTACAACATATAAACTACATTAATACTCTAAAATTTACTCAAAAACCAACTGAATTTTTTTAGTACCATATTTACTCTCAATATAATCTATCCATCTTCTCCAAACCGAAATATATCTTTCTTGTGAATAATCCTTCACATAAGCAGAAATCTTGGCCATTTCTGCTAAATTTGAGACTTTAAGTGACCATTCTTCTATAGTGGGCAAACGTTCCGTTTTCCAACATTGAGCTACTAGTAATCTTGCAGCAGTTATCAAATTCAACATCAAATCCATTTCTTTTTTATCCAAATCTTCCATAATACTCAGCAGAAATATCTGCGGCTTAAACTTTATCTTTTTCTTAAAAATATTTTGAATATTCCACCATATCTTAATCCAAAATGCCTTTACTTCCCTGCATGTCCACCACATATGAAAATAGGTTGCATCTAAGTTTCCACATCTCCAACACTTAGGTTGTAGATTAGGATACATGCAGGACAATTTTTGAGGATCCAAATGCCACCTATAAAACATTTTATAAAAATTTTCCCTTAAATTCTGAGCTTGAGTAAATTCGTTCTCGCCAAATGTCTTTTAATTCCAGTTCATCCTTCAGGTCAAAAAAAGTTTTAGGCAATGTTGAATTAAAAGCTTTACAAGAACCTTTCTTATCTCTTCTTGAATCCAAAACACCATTCCAATCTCCCATCATAATAACTGATTTGTAATCCATTTGATTTAATTTCCGATGCATCAATTTGTAAAACTGTTTCTGCTGTTGATTTGGAGCATATAATCCAATAATAAGACATTTCTTCCCATTCAATAATATTTCAATAAAAACATATCTTCCTTCTGGATCAGAGTCAATCAATTTAGACAAAAACTCCTTCCTAACATAAATAACTACCCCGCCTCTTTTCTGAGGCGCAGGTACCATAAAATGTATTCCCAACCGTGAGTTAATCAAATATTTTTGATCCTTTGCTGTAATGTGGGTTTCTTGTAAACAAACAACATCATTTTTATGTTGCTTCAAATAGTAAAATATCTTTTTTCTTTTCTGTGGAGAATTCAAACCATTAACATTCCATGTCAAGAACCTTGCCATCTTTAATGGCAGCGAGCCTCTGGAACGCTCCTTGCAAATCAGCTGTTAGTGATCTCTTCGGCCTCGCTCCTCCCACTGGCTCTGAGTTACTTGCTGTGCTGTAGGTACCACATCCACTTTTTGTTGCTCTCTTTCTTTGCGTCTATAAGCTGCACGGGTCATTCTTTGTGATTTTGGGTCATCTTTAATTTCCATAAATTGTTGCTTAGCTTGATCTTGGTCTTGTAGATTAATAATACTTGATGATGATATAGCTCCTTCAGCCACTTTATCTTCAAAGATTCTTTCCTTCCTGGTGCCTTGTGGAGACGATGGTGAACCTGTTTTCAAAATTGAGATATAAAAATCCTTTGCCTTTGCAATCATGTTGAGCCGATAACGTGTACCCATGTAATTGACCATTATACCAACAGGTATATCACATCTAAATTGAATTTGTCGCTTTTTCAACTCTTCAGCCAGGAAGGCAAAATCCTTCCTTCTTTTAAGTATTTTGGGTGGTATTTCCTTTAAAATTATAATGTCTTGTCCTGAAATTTGAAATTTCTACTTATAAAAAGCTTGAATAATTTCATTACGGATTCATTTTCTTGAAAAGTAGATAACAACATCTCTTGGAAGGTTTCTCTGTCTTGCAACCCATGAATTAACTCTAAAAAATTTTCCATTTCTCTCATAATTTCTTCAGGTTGGCAGGACAAAACCAAGGCCAGTTCTGCTGCAATCTCCTCCTCCAATTTTTCTTGGACATTCTCTTTCGGTCCTCTTATTCTCAAAGCATATTCCATTTCTCTATATTGTGACATAATGACCTCATTTTGAGTTAAATCCACATTCTCCTCCACTTTTCCCAATCTAAATTCCAAAGTTTCAACATGTTCCTCCACTTCATCCACCCGTTCATCAATACGTTCTACATGAACTGCCAGGCCTTGCAATGCAAACAATATGTCATCTCTCATCTCTGCATTTTTCTCTTCAAGTTTCTTTTCAAACAGCTCCTCCATCTCCATTCTAATCTGTTTTGCATTGTCCTTCAAAGCATCCTGTATATCTTTCAGTGTGAGTGCTGGAATTGGGGGAGAAGGCGGAGGAGTAGGTTTTGGCTGCTGTGATGTTTGAACAGCTGGGGAGGAGCTCGTGCTTTTCTGAGGAACAAAAGTTCCCACACGTTTTGAGGCCATTTTACTTTCTCTTCTTCTCTTATAATTTCATTTATATAATATAAAGTCTTGTAAAAGCATGCAACAAAAGCAGAAGCAGAATGCTTGCCCAACCAGCAAGCAACAAAATAACCAGGTCTATTACAGTAGAAAGTCCAGCAGAAAGTAAAAGTCTCCAAAAAGTAAAAGTCTCTATCAAAGAACAAAACGCCCTTCCGCAGCCATATTCCTTCCTCTTCAAATTAAAATACCAAGTGAAGAAGATTCTTATTCATTTCCAGAGTTAAAGTCCCAGTTCATTCAAATTTCAATCCTCCTGGTTCACTCTGTCTGCTTGTAAAAATCTACTCACAATCTCCTGGAAGCAGAGGTTGAATCCACATCTGGCTTCGTTCCAAGGAACGGAGGCAGCCCGAGGCACGGAGAAGTCCCTGACTCTGGGGGAACTCACCTTCACCCTCACAGATAGAGAACCATGAGGGCTAGGGAGCTCTACCTTTATCAGGGAAGCTCACCCCCCCCTTTGCCCGGGGAAGGGGATTCCGAGCCGCGGAACAGCTGTTACGCGCTGTTCCTGCGGCTCTTACGCGTCCTCGGGGCGGACGGCTCACAGGAAAGCCGCCATCGGCGCCGGGATCCAACCGGAAGTCTATTTATTATTTTTTAATAATTACAAATTTCCTGAAGAAATCTATTTCAGTGTTACTATTTTTATTATCTTTTTTTCAGTTTATATTTTCCCTTTCCTCTGAGAAGCAGGTTCCTACCTTTCTCCTTTATATACACTGCAAAATTGTTAAATGTTTTTGAGTACAACTGAGTGTTGGAAAAACAATGCTTGTAGATTCATAGCACACTTTATCTGTTCTTTTAACAAGAACTAATGGCTGAAATTTTGTGAGCTTGTCAAGTCTCAAGAGATATTAGTGAACCCTGAAACCTTGTGACATTTTTAGTTGGATTGCACATTGCAAGGTTTGGTATGTTACTTGACTGCTGGCATCTTTCTTGGTATGACCTTTGGAAGTGGTTTGCCATTACTTTCTTTCTGGGGCTAAGAGAAAGTGATGGATCAAGGTAATTCCAGAAGATTTCATATCCATGGCAGAACTAGAACTTAGTCTCCCAGTTTCTAGTAGCCCAATTTCTTAACTATTACAATAGACTGGTTCTCTAATATGTTACTTGGTTTAATTAACAGCAAAGGAGATCTAGCTATCTAGCTATCTATATTTTCACAATTTATCCTCACAACAGGAACTTTATGAGATGTTAAGAGCTTGCCCAGAGTCACCCAATAAACTCCAAAGTAAAGTGGAAACTTCAACCTGGGTTTCATTGGTCCTAATCAAACACTTTAAGCACAATGGTATAACTACAACTACATTGTTGATTTCAGATGCAATTTATTTCACTTTGGATTTTAAAAAAGTATTCTTTGTGTCTACTGTTATTTTTAGCAAACTGCTCTTCACTGGAGTGCCTATTACAATAATCCAGAGCACGTGAAAATTCTTATCAAACATGATTCTAACATTGGAATCCCAGACATTGAAGGCAGAATTCCACTTCATTGGGCAGCTAATCATAAGGATCCCAGTGCAGTTCATACTGTCAAATGCATTTTGGTATGATTTTTTTTCAATGTTGGTCATATGTTACACCAGAGATAACACTTACAATTGTACTTTATTTTGCAATAATATTCCATTTAGAATATTGAATAAATTTCTGAATCTTTACTTTTTGCGGTGAAAAGAGAAGATTAACCAAAATGGTTAATTGACTTGGCTATGGAGCGAGACAAAAAACTATGCAAATGGCTGCTACATTATTTATTGTCTCATAGTTTAGGACTTGGCTAAATGAGCTATATAAGAAAAAGGTAATTTATTGAAAGCTACTTGATAAATCCAAAATTGCATTACCCTAAAGCTCAGAATTCTATAACCGCCAATCATGCGCCACTCAAATAATTTAATGAATATCTGTAAAAGACAGAAATACAGGTAATCCCCGAGTTACAAGTGTTCACTTAATGCTCGTTCAAAGTTACGCAATAAGCGTCCCTTAGTGCTTACGAGCAAGTCCCGAAATTACAAATATTGCAGCGCCACCGCAGTTGTTTGCCCTTACGAGTGACCACAGTGGCACTGCAACATTCAACTCTGGTTATTCCCTCCCTCTCCACCCCTACCCTGGGTCTCCCTAGGCACCAGGCCTTCAATACTTTGCAAAGATTGAGATCCTTCGCTTTCTTGGCTGCTCCAGGCCTTCAGTGCATTCGCAGAGAATGGAGGCCTAAAGTAACACAAGATCACGCGAGATAAGTGCTACTGATCTTGCGTGATCTCAAGGTACTTTAAGTCTCTGTTCTCTGCAACAGAGAATGGAACCGAAGCTGGGTGATGCTTCTGTGCCCCTCCGGTGGCCTGATCCGGGTGCCGGAGGCCTTTTACAGGCCGCTGCCACCTGGATCTGAGGCCGGGGGTTGCTTCCATGGTCCTCTGGTGGCCTGAATCAGGCTCCAGAGGCCTTTTCCCACCCGGATCTGAGGCCCAGGGATGCTTTTCTGGCCCTCCAGTGGCCCGATCCGGGCACCGGATGCCTTCTCCAGGCCGCTGCCATTTGGATCTGAGGCCAGGGGATGCTTCCACGGCTGTCCGGTGGCCTGTTTCTGGGTAGCAGCGGCCTGGAGAAGGCATCCAGCATTTGGATTGGGCCTCCAGAGGGCTGCAGAAGCATCCATGCCCTCAGATCCACGCGGCAGCGGCCTGGAGAAAGCATTCGGTGCCCGGATTAGGCCACGGAGGGCCACGGAAGTGTCCCCCATCCTTAGATCAGGATGGCAGCAGCCTGGAGAAGGCCTCTGGAGCCTGGATCGGGCCTCCGGAGCCTGGATTGGGCCTCTGGAGGATCGCGGAAGTGTCCCCTGGCCTCAGATCAGGGTGGCAGCATCCTGGAGAAGGCCTCCGGCACCCAGATCGGGCCTCTGGAGGGCCACAGAAGTGTTCCCCAGCCTCAGATCCAGGCAGTAGTGTCCTGGAGAAGGCCTCTGGCACCCGGATCAGGCCGCCAGAGGTCTGTAGAAGCGTCCCCCCGGCCTCAGGTGAAGGAACCGCAGCAGAGAGGAAACAGATCTTTTCAAGGTGAGTCCGACCCTCCATGGTCTTCCTCATCATGAGATGCCTCATGTTCACTTAACGAGCTGCGTGTGTATTAACGGGCAAGGGAGTGATCTTGTTCAAGGTACGAGATTCACTCCCACCAGTTTTCAAGTTACAAGTGGAATGGGCAGGCTCCATTATACTCGTAACTCGAGTACTACCCATACATTATTAAATACAAAGTTCCTAAATACTAAAATGTGGAAGGTGGAAAGAGATTTGGAATTCTAATATGAACAAAAATATTTTAACTTAAATTATTGCAATAATAACAACAACAACAACAACAACAATATCAGCATTGACAAAATCCCCATCAGCCAGTTGCAAAAGGCAGTTTTACTTGGAACATTATGCAACAGTATGTTTAACTCCATCAAAATCCATCTATTTCATGTCTTTGGGAAGAACTTGTTAGGTAGATTAAAAATGCGAAATCCAGTGTAAATATCTGCTTCATTGTGCATTTGTCAATAATTTGTCAGTCTTCTGCTTAAAGTTTTTTTAATTGTTCCGCAGCCAAATAAATTCTAGGAACAGCTTACAAATCTATTTATTCAAACATCCAATTTATCTGTATTAGGTCAATGACCATTTATTAAGCATTTGCAATTTCCAAAAATGTTTCAAGAACATGATGGTACCTTGATTCAGAGATTTCTGAGATGATGGCATTGTTAGGTCCCTACTGGAATGCTGCCATTCCAAGAGGAGGGGGAAGGCCTCCTTGGGGATTGAAGATGTTTCTATATTGTTTCTGCTTTTGTTTTGATGTATCTGCATTGGAATTGGGGAAGGGGTAATGAGTCCTCAGGGCCATCTGGCTTGATTCCTTTTCAGCTAATTCCTGCCTGTTACCAAGGTCATGGTGCCAGCGAAAAACTTGTTATCACCTTTTCAGCTCGGAGTTCTCACAACAACTTCATGCCAGCAGATTGGCTCCAGATGGATTGGGGCAATGGGGTGGGGGTGGACATGGGAAATTAACTAAACATTTTTGCGTGGGAACTTCAAATTCCGCCTGACCTCTCTGCAATCATTTTCTCTCAGTAAAAGATCCTTTTGAAATAATGCTGTTTCAAGAGTCATGCTTTCCTGAGGAGAAAGCTGAGATGGAATCTGCAAAGTGGTCAACCCAGAGAGGCATCCGCCCTACTGTGGGGACCGTGCAAATGATGTCTCACAAAGGCAGCGATCAAGAAGAAGTTGAGTGCTGGGGAGAAGCCTCTGCTAAGTTCTGCTAAGCACAAGCTCTGCTGGATGGACAGATGGAGGAAGCTGCCAGCCTAGGGGACTCATCTAAGGCAAGATGGTCCATTGGCATGGAAAGAGAGACAACTGGAAAGGGAGGACCAAGAGGGTCACCCTCACCCGAAGCAGAGGCTGGCATGGGTGGAGAGACAACGTGGTGACACTGGACAATGATGAGGGGAATGGGGAAGAACCTGACCATGCCAATCTCATCATGAAGCAAGCAATGTACTTCATGATGGAAGCCTTCCAAAACCTGGAGGCATGAGAAATCTTAGCCCAAATGATGGGGACAACAAGTGATATGGTCAGTGAGCGGAGGAGGGAAAACATCATCCTTGAGCACTGCGGCGGGCATGGTTAAAGCTTTAGAAGGGGCAACAACCACCGCAGTAGCGTCCCCTCAAGGGACTCTTGAGGAGCAAATGCCCCCTGGGCTGGCAATGGTGGGGCTCACCAGCAGAAGCAGAAGCAGAGAATTCAATCGAGACCCTCAACAGCTTTGGCTTTTCTTAGTCCATGTCCTCACTTACATGCAGGAGTACAGCCATGGGATCCCCACCGAGGGGGCCAGAGTCAGGGTCATTATCCTGGCACTGGAGGGGCTCACGGTGAGATGGATGGTGACCCTCCATAACACGAACACCTCAGAGCTGCACAACTTCAACTGGTTCATGACAGCTCTGAGACAAGCCCCCTGATCGATCGCAAAGCCTGAGGCTGCATAAAGATGATGCGGCAGGGGTGTTCTGTCCCCGTCTCACACACACCCAAACAGCCAGCCGAGGGTTAAATAACCTTCTCAGACACTCCACGCTACTGATAAGGAACTTGGCAGCAACTCCATAGCTGCCTGCCAAGAACTTTTTTATTGCGATAACACAGACAAAAAACACATACAGTTTGAATAGTCCAGTTTGTAATTAAATCCACAGCAAATAGGCATTGTGTCCAAAGGTGCAAAGTGATTCGCCAGAGATTTAGCTTTGTCCGTCACAGAGTCCGAATGGCCACCATACTCTCTTTTATAGCCTGTGGGGTGGGGTCCAGTGACTCAGCTTAATCTCTGGCACGCCTCCTTTTCTGCTGCGCACGCTTGTCTTGCCTTCGCTGGCATGGGTCCAGCCACAACGTATCTTTGTCACTATCCGACGGCTCGGAAACACCTGGCTCCTGGCCAATCTCTTCTCCGTTGGGAGACACCTGAGGCATTGCCAGAGAGGAGGGTCCTGGAGAGAGAGGCCTGGTCATCTCCTCTCCTTCATGTTCAGAGCCTTCTTCCTCTGATAAGATGGGATCACAGGACGGAACCACAACAAGGGGTGCCACCAGTTGTTCAATACACCAAAGAGTTCCGGGACTTGGCTTGCCATCTCAACTGGCCAGAAGACATCCTTGTGAGTTGTTTCAAAGATGGCCTGAATGACGACTTATACAATGCCTCCATGACTGGTGTATGCTAGCCGAGGAAGCCGAAATAGACCAAGCCTGAAATAAGTACTGCTCCAGCAAAGCTTGGAAAAGATCACCCCCCAGAGAAGAAAAGGGAGGCAGCCAAACCCCAGGCCCAGCTGGTACGTTCCACTGCCTGCTTCAAATGTGAAAAAGAAGGCCACCAAACAGCCGAATGCAGAGCCAAGTCCTCAGCAAAGAAGGGGAAGTATGTACCAAGTGGGAAAGCTGCCAAGTCACAACCACGTGCAAAGGAGATGGCCCTGAAGACCATGGAGGTCATGGAGTTCAGCTCCTTGCCAAAATGGAGGAGGGGAATTCCAATCCCATCAGAGGAAGACCAAGGGTTCTTGGACATCAACTATGATGATGATCCCTTGGTAAGTGGACCAATCACGCTAGTAACTATGCCTATAGAGTTGCATCTCCCCGGCACTGAGCAAAAAGCAGCCCTGAAAGCTCTGCTAGTCTCGGGATGCACCAGATGTACGGTAAGCCCAGCCTTAGTAGAGAAGCTGGGGATCGCTTAAGAAGGCTAAAAACCCCAATTGCATTCTGCCAATTAGATGGGTTAGTCGCAAGGGCATCCCAGCCACATTTGCCACCAAATCCTTAGGGATGACAATGGGGGCTAACTCAGAGACTTTAACTTTCACAGTAGCCCCTGGAATGGAGAGGCCATTTGTCCTGGGGCTGGGCTGGCTGACAAAATGGAACCCACAGGTGGATTGGAGGAAGGGATTGTTGAACTTCCCGCTGAAAGGAAAGCTCTCATGCCAGGCAGTGCACCTTCCCCAACGGACCTTCTGCCAAGAAATTGGAGTGACAGCAAAAGGGAAAGACTTGCAAGAGGCTTACTATTGCGTAAGGGGATGAGTGGAAGACCGCTTTTAACTGCCCTCTAGGCTGCTTCCAATTTAAAATACTTCCCTTTGGCTTACAAGGAGCACCCACGGTGTTCATGCAACTGATTAACAACGTGATCCATGAACATCTATACAAGGGGGTCCTAGTGTATCTTGATGACATTTTAATTTATACTGAAACAAAAGTGGAGCATGTGAAACTCATCAGGCCATTTTAAAGAAGTACCCAAACCCTGAAACTTGATATTCAAGCAGACACCAGTGATGTCGCGATGGGAGTCCTGCTACTACAGAAGAATGAGGAGGGGCAACACGTCAAAAAAAAGCTGACTGAAACCGAGCAATGTTGGGCAGTATGGGAGAAGGAGGCCTATGCAGTCAGATGGGCTCTCCTGTTCTATAAACATTTTCTAGAAGGGATTAAAATCCCATTCCAACTCTGGACTGATCACAAAAACCTGGAAGGTCTGAAAGTTAACCCCCAAACAAGTATGGTGAGCTCAGTACTTTCAATGTTTTAACTTCACCTTAGGCTATTTATCGTGAGAGAAAAACTTCCCGGCAGACTCTCTGTCGGGAATGCTGCTGTAAGGACCCACCCCACTTTATATCTCAAGAAGACAGAACTCTTGGAATATCTCTTCCAACAGGCATCTTTATTAAGAGAGGATGGTTGCAGGCGTTCTAGACAGGATCTGAGGGGCCAACCCCTACCATCCAAGGTTTTAAGTGTTCTCAAGTAGCCCTCACCCCACCATCCTTCCAGTGACAATCCCAGGCATTACATTTCCACCCCCTTTTCCTCTCGACCGGCAGAAGGGAGACTTCAGAGAGTAGTAGATGAAAGCTGATGGGCCATTTGTTATGGTCAGTCCTCTTGGTAAGATCCACATTCAGTCCCTTTGAGGTTTTAATGAAGTGAGAGCCATAAAATCCCTTTGCTCATCCCCCTTTCCCTTCGTAGTATGACAGAATCCAGAGAGGGCAGAAATGGGGTTTTCCATAGTCAATAACTAGAAATGAAATATAATTGGATTCTGACAGCTGCAATACAATAGCTCCAAAGCAGAAGCCTCTCCTCACCTCAGCTGCCAGTCCAGGTGACCACAAGAATGCTGCAGAAAGAAAAAAACCCTATGGACCATGCTACTGCAGCAGCATTTAAAGAAGCCCTGGAGGGAAACAAGTGGTTTAGCAACCACAAGAATGTCTGCTCAATGCAGAACAGGCTGGCCTGGGTGGGTGGAAAACTGTATGTACCTGCCAGCCAGAGGCTAAAAACCATGCAAACTTGCCATGACTCAAAGTTCGTGTTACATTTTGGATTCATGAAAAACCTGCACCTTCTCAAAAGATATAGTTCTGGTGCCCTTCGCTCAAAAAGGACATTGAGAGTTATGTTTCCAGCTGCCCTGTATGCGCGACCACAAAACGAAGGCAAGGGAAAATGCCTGGGCTATTTCAGTTAGTGGCTGAGCCATCAGCACCCTGGAGAAAGATTTCCATGGACTTTATTGTGGAACTTCCAGAAAACGTGGGAAACACAGTAATTTGGATAGTGACTGATCTGTTTTCCAAGCAGGTATATTTCATCCACTGCCAGCAATTTCGAACAACCAAAGGGTTGGCAAAGATGTTTCTTCAACATGTTTACCAACTACATGAGGTGCTGCAAAGCATCATCTTGGATAGAAGGATCCAATTCACATCAAAGTTCTGGAGAGCTTTTTTGGACCTCCTAGGTCAGTGATGGCGAACCTTTTAGAGACCGAGTGCCCAAACTGCAACCCAAAACCCACTTATGTATCGTCGGATGCTGGGGGCATGGCCAACTGGGTGGGCATGGCCCATTGGGTGGGCGTGGCTGCGGTGGTAACAGCAGACTGGGTGGGACTAAAAAGTTCAATCAATCAATTCCAACTTTGCGAGACCTTTTTTTCCTGTGAGAAGTTGAAATTGATTGATTGAACCTTTTTTTGTACATGACGGTGGAGGCCTAAAGCGAAAAGGTTTTTTAAAACCCAGCTGAAGGCCTAGGACTGGGGTGATGGCGCGCATGCCCATAAAGAGGGCTCTGAGTGCCACCTGTGGCACGCGTGCCATAGGTTCGCCACCACAGTCCTAGGTCCTAGAAACTGACCAAGGACTTAGTTCTAGTCACCATCCACAAACGAATGAGGGGACACAATGAATGAACTCTGTTCTAGAGCAGTATCTGTGTGCTTCATTAACTACCAACAGGATGACTGGACCGACCTCCTGCCATTTGCTGAAATAGCATACAACGACGCTGTACACACCAGCACAAGCTTCACACCTTTCTGAGTGGTAGTGGGGCAAGATTTTAAACCAATGCCTGAGCTGCCAGCTAAAGACCCCACAATCCCCTCCTTAAAAGGATGGATAGATCAGTTAAATAATACCTGGCCCGTGGTGCACAAGGCACTTGCAAAGGCCAGGGCAACTTCAGATTCTGCCTGACTTCTCTGCAATCATTTTCTCTCAGTAAAAGATCCTTTTGAAATAACGCTGTTTCAAGAGTCATGCTTTCCTGAGGAGATAGATGAGGCAGGGCTTTATAGGCATATTGAAAAAACAAACAAGGAGATAATCATTGTTCCCCACTGTCCTCTGTTTAAATTATAAAATCCATATTTTGTTAGGTGCATAAATTCCTTTGTAGATAGAAATAGAAGCGAGATCAATTGACTTCATAAAGTATTAACTATGCTGGAGATAATCAAAGACAAATTACAGAAAAATATCAATGGAATTTGGTTGATTATGTAATGAGGGCAAAAGAGCACCTTCAAGATGGAACAGCCTCTTCTTTGAGGTCCATCAGTGACTGGTCTCCTGGCTGTTGCCATCTCTTTATTATAAACCAGCTTCTCCCTTCAATCCAGAGAACCAGCAGAGAATTAAACAGAAAATCCTCATTCTATCCTGGGTCTGGTTAAATACAAAAAAGGAAATCAAAACAAAATTTTAGACGTCTGTAGCTTGGCCAAACTGAGATTGGTAATGAAAGGCTAGGATCGAAAGAAAAAATAAACTTTAATAAAGTTATCAAGAAAAAATAAATTTAAACATGCAACACATTCAGTAGTTTTTTGTTTTAAAAAAAACAACCCTAAAGCAATTTTAACTATACTAACTTTCAATTTTGTCTAAGGAAAACCTCTCATCCAGATTTCCACCCACCCTTCTCACCAAAACCATCACATCAAATTCTTCTGTCAAAATCTAATGGAACCCTTCTTTTCTTTTATTGGCCCTCAGGGATCAGGTGACCATCTTTGGCACATCAGATTGGCTTTTGATTTAAAAGGCAAGCTGCTCCTCATTACAGGTGGCCATTTAAAAAAAAGATATTTCCAACCTTATCCTTTTAGAAATATTGTTATGTTATGCTATATGTCCCTGTAATCCTCAGATATGGGGGAAATTATTTAAGAAAAGTGCAGTTATGCTAGGAAAATATGTAAATTTGCCTGGAAAAAGTCATACAAAACGAGTAGAAGACGGGGAATAAGGGAATATGTATGTATGATTTCAGTTCTACTATTAACAAATTGCTTACTTCAGTACAAATATATTATTCTCTAGCTACAATTGTGGCTTCCAATTCAGCTTTGCCAAATACCAAACAATAAATCTTGGTTATCTTTTAGGCTAACCAAGGAAAAATCAACAGTACAACTGTTGTACAATTACAAGCAAGATTAGACAAAGATCCAGAGGAAACATGGTGGAATATATAGATCCAACTTTCCACATTGCTGGGATTCACAAACTGAAACTGATCCAGTATAATGCATGAAGAGTTACCAAAAGCTGGAGGGAGGTGGGAGGAGACTTTAAATTAACCTTTAGCTAAACTGTTTCAATCCATCCACTTACTACCAACATTTTTTTCTATAAACATCAGATGACAGGTCTTGTTATGGAGGATGGTTGTATACCTTTATATATTGATTGTATTTTATCAGTAGCATAAGACACTTTAATATCTAGAGACGTTGGTTAGAATGCAAATTTACTAATGTTAAATAAAAAAGTATAGATTGTAAAATGTGATAACATTAAAGCACGAATAGTGCCCACCTCCAATATGGATGGACAACTTCTAGTCAGTCAAATTTACTTTCCAACTGAAGTGCCATTAAAAAGTTACAAACTGAGAATTTTGCCCAGGTTTTTTCTTGATTTTGGAGGAGCTTGGGCAGATTAATGATAAAGATGTCCAGTTGATCCCCCATGAGTTTCTTTTCCATTTCTGTATCTTATTTTCATATTTTACCCCCAAATTCTATTACCAAAACTTGGCTATTTTGCCCTAAATTTCAGCAGCACAATTTCAACCTATTTTTAAGGATAGGGATGAGTATTCAACACCCATCTTTCTAGAGGCAATCCATTTTCATGTCTATCCTTATTTTTGCACAAAAAGCCTTTTAAAAATGGCAACACCAAAATTTGGCAATTTACTACCACACTTTGGTGATACAATTTCATGGTATTAGGTTGCCTACCATTGCCTTAAGTAATAAATGTAATTTTGTTCTAAAGAAGAATTTTAATTACCATCAATAGGTACAGTTAATATTTTTTTTAATTAAAATAGTGTCTTACTTGATTTACTGGTTGAACTCCAATAGAACTTTTTAAATACCTATTGCCATTTCTAAAAGTTCACTGTATCTTTTTAACTGGCCTTTTTATAAACCAGGATGCTGCACCAACTGAATCTCTGCTAAACTGGCAAGATTATGAAGGACGAACTCCCCTCCATTTTGCAGTTGCCGATGGGAATATAGCTGTTGTTGATCTGCTGACTTCCTATGAAAGTTGCAACGTGTCTTCTTATGATAATTTATTTCGAACTCCGCTTCACTGGGCAGCATTATTGGGTAAATTATGAATGGTAGAAATTCTTTACCCTTTTGAGCATATTTGTCACTTAATTTTGTGGAATATTGCTTTTCTCAATTAAGACCCTGCATCCTGAGATAGGTAGTAAGGAGGTTGCCTTGAAAAATACAGAAAAATATGATCATGAGATCAACTTATACTAACTTAATCCATTGATTCATGCAGTTCAATTTATCTATATATGGATCTTGTGTGGGGTATAGCTTTCAGAATCTTCCAAGACCCCAGACTGTCCTTATTGATTGTTTATACTATTTACCTATTTTTATCTGTGTTAGTTGAGTAGCACAGAATACGAGGGAGATAATATGAAGGAGAGATTTAAACCTCTGTCCATTTTCTCTTCTACCTACTATTCAGATAAATTACAGGGTTTAAGAAAGTAGTAGTGGAAGGGTAAATACTATTGAATTAATGACTCTTCCAGTGTTAACTTAATTTTGTTGTCTATATCCACAGAGAGAAGCACTTTTGAGTTTTGACAAGTACCCAATAACAGCATCAGTACCATTGTAGCTGGAGAAAGAAACAGAAAATTAAAGAAAAAATGATTCATTCCCCCCCCCTTGTCTTAGCTCTTTCAACCCTTTTGAGAAATTGCCCTCCTTTAACTCACTACTTTCTAAAATATTCACACAAAATTTTAGAACTATCTCAAAACATTCCAAAATTTAATGTTAGGCAGCAACAAATCATGCAATTTGCCCTGAAAAGAAGTCGCAATTCTTAATGGCTGGAATTACCAGTCACTGTAGATACCCACTCATAGTAATTTGAGCCATGGTGAAAATGAGAAAATGTTATTTTGAATAATTAAATGTATAGCAAAACAGAGGCCATATTTTCTCCCTTCATTTATTGTTTTGAATAATATAAAATCTTTTGCTACCCAGTATTTTACATTATTAAAATCTGACTTGAGGATCCTTGCAATCATAATTTCCATATTGCTACTCAGTAGGTAAAGCAAAAACTGTACAGCAGAGGATAAATATGAGCAAACGTAGTTACTTAAGGTTTAGTTAATAATATGGGCTAAAATTTTGGACAGCCTTAATGAGCTTTATGAAGGGATTTAAGCTGGAAAAACAGATTGCCAAATCAGTCATTAATACCATACATTGATTCTTGACAATTCTAGAGAATTAAGAAGCTATCGTATTGTAGTGGTTAGAATGCAGCATTGCAAGCTAACTCTGCCCACAGCCAGGAGTTTGATTCTAACCAACTCAAGATTAATTCAGTTTTCCATCCTGAGGCTGGCAAAATGAGGACCCAGATTGTTGGGGGCAATATGCTGACATTTGTAAACTGCTCAGAGAGTCTTGCAAAACACTGTGGAGCAGTATATAAGTGCTATTGCTGTTTTATAAATAGCTGAATGCTGTATTATTCAATCAATTGTTCTGGACTTGATCAGAGTTCTGGTCTATATTTTTGTAAATCAGTTTAGCCTTTCCACAAAGAGAATGCAACTTTTGAAGAGTCAAGGTGGGATATATCTAAGCTTCAAGATGAAAGATGATGACTTACTTCATAATGCAAAAGCACTTAGTTTTATATAGAATCTTATAACCAGACTTTTTAAAAGCTAGCCATTTCAAACTGTAACTTTTGAAAATATCTTCATTTCCTTATGAAATGAAGGAATAAATATTTTTTTTAAACAGGCTGGAAAACACTTGAGTTAGGAAAGCAGTTTGGAAAAGGGATAAGCAATCAGAAGAGTTTGTTCTTGGATTACATTTTCAAGAATGAGATTCAAAAATAATTTTGCCCCTATGAATTTGATTTGGAGGACGAGGCTTTCATTTTTCAGTGCAGGTGTTTGGTTGAGGTAGATGTATAATCTTGGTATTGCAAGTTTTGTTATGTAGAGTCAACTAAAGGGCTTAAGCTCTCACTGCATTTTTAATAATAAATTTATTATGCTCTCAGACAAATATAAAAATGCATTATATTGGTTCAAGTAATAACAATAAAATAAGAAATATAAAGGTTACATAAGTTTACATATTACAGCAATAATAAAAGGGAAGAACACCGATATTCATTTTCATACACTTTGTTTTATTAACAATGCTATGCCCAGTAAGTTATCAACAAGATGTTGCTATTTACCATGTGAATTTACAACCCTCACCTGCAAATAAATGGTATAAAAATTACAGTTCTTGGTTTTAAGGTTCTGTGATGGTGTAACAGATACCTATACCTATATATCGTTCATAAATATGTGCTTTTTCTGCTTTTGATTTTTAGGTCACGCACAGATTGTCCATGTTCTTTTAGAAAGAAACAAAGTTGGAACAATCCTTTCTGATAGTCAAGGGGCAACACCTTTACATTATGCAGCACAAAGCAACTTTTCTGTAAGTGAGATAAATAGTTTATTTGAAAATGTCATAACACTGAATCTTTTTAATTAGTCTAGTTATTAAGGCTGTGTTTTTTCATATTAAAGATTGTGAAGAAACAGTATTTTTAAGGTGAAAGTAGTATTTGCTATCATTTCATTTGTTCCAATGTTCTTTTTGATTGGAAAAATTTCTGAGACAAACTATGTTTTCCTTCTTGATATATTTAAAACATAGAAAATAGGGATGTATACAAGAAGAAAAAATTATTCTATGAGGCTAACTTGAAGGGAGTGATCTAAATCGGGGGTCCCCAACCCCCAGTCCGCAGACCGATACTGGTCCACAGCCAGTTAGGAACCGGGCCATGCAGTTGGAGGTGTGCTATTTTTACTTAAGCACTGCATCTCCAAGGGAATTCTCTCTCATCTGCACCTTTTCTAAGATTGCTAGGCTCCGTTGCACTTCAACTGGAGTTTTTTGCTTTTGTTTTGATGTTCCAGGTGCCTCGTGTTTTGGCAACATCCTGCCTGCTTTTCGTGGTTTAATTTGGTGTGTGTGTGTGTATGTGTGTTCCTCCTTTCTTTGTGCGCTCTCAAGTTTGCAAGCCAAATGCGCTTCTACCCGGCTTGCAATTGGAGAGGGAGGAGGGGAGAAGCTACATTTCCCCTTAAGCACTGTCTCCAAGGGAATCCCTCTCTCATTTGCACCTTTTCCAAGACTGCTGGATTTGTGCAGTGACGAGTTGGTTTGGTCTCTCCCTCCCTCTCTTTTTCTCAGCACTTCCTCAACATGCTGGGTCTTTGGTTTGTTTTGCTGGAAGGCTGAGTTTAGGATTGTCTCTTTTCCTTCCCATTTTCTTAGAAGCAGAAAGTCACTGGTCTAATCTAATACAATGTAATAATAACAGAAATAAAGTTCATTATTTATTTGTTTGTTTGTCTATTTAGAAAATTTACAATAAATATAATGCACTTGAATCATCATGAAGCCCCCTCCCCCTCCGGTAAAATTTGTTAATATAAATGGTACTAGTTTATAAAGATTATTAAGTGCAAATAGAAATACGGTATATATAATTTCCACAGCAAGAAAGATAAAGCAGAAATGGTTAAATTGATTGTTTTATTCAAATAGGAGAATATATTTAATTATATTTTTATTTGGATATCACTTCTGGATTTTGTGCTTGTGATAAAAAAATGAAACTTTGGTTTCACTGCTTAGAAAGATTTGTTGTTATAGAAATGGCTAGTTATATGCTAATGTGTAAAAGTAAAAAGTTGAGGCTATAATGTTGTTATCTTGTACTGTGCTAAGTAGAGTCGAAAGTCAATGCTTTTTTTTCTTTCTTCCCTTGCACCTCATATTTTCTTCCCCCCCCCCCTCTTTTTTCTTCACTTAATTTTGTATTTTTCTTTGTATTTTATACATTGGTAAAACAATGAAAGTAATGAGATAAAAAAAATAAAATAGAATATAGAATAAGAGGGTTGAAAGTGATTTTGGAGGTCTTCTAGGCCAACTCCCGTCTGTGGCCAGAGATCCTATACCATTCCAGATTTTCTTTGAATTGATAGGATGGATCCCATGATCATAGAAAGAATAACAGAATAATAGAATAGAACAATAGAATTGGAAGGGATGCCAGAGGTCCTCCATCCAACCTTCCATCCAAGCAGGAGATCCTATACCATTTCAGACAAATGGCTGTCCAGTCTCTTCTTAGAAATCTCCAATGATGGAGCATCCACAACTTCTGGAGGCAAGCCATTCCACTAGTTAATTGTTTTCACTGTCAGAAAGTTTCTCCTTAGTTCTGGATTGCTTCTCTCCTTCATTAGTTTCCATCCATTGCTTCTTATTCTGCCTTCAGGTGCTTTGGAGAATAGTTGACCCTTCTTTGTGGCAGCCCCTCAAATATAATATTTTAACCCCTAGTTCTTCTTTTCTCTAAACCAGCCATATCCAATTCCTGCAACCTTCTTCATATGTTTTAGTCTCCAGCCCCTTAATCATCTTTATTGCTCTTCTTTGTACTCTTTCTAGAGTCTCAATATTTTATTATATTTTGGTGACCAAAACTAGATAAATATTCTAAATGTGGCTGTCAGAACCCACATGTTGGGAGGGAGCCTTTCTTTTTCTTTCCTGTGGGTTCTGTCATTCTCCTGGGGGGAGGGGAGAACTATGGGAACTACAATGTATTTTCTTCACTTCACTTCAGCCACTACAATGTATCCTCTCTGCTTCCTCTATTTGCTTGCTCTTTGAACTGTTCCCCCTTGATGCCACTCTGGGGGTGAGAAAGAAATGTGCCTCCGGCCATCTGGCTTATCTCTCATTGCGGAAGACTAGGTGCAAAGACCTAACAACAGCTTCACAGCTTTGGGAACAGCACCTTATCAGCCCCGTTCCCACAGCAGATTCAACACCAGGGGATTGGCCCCTTTGAACTGACTGCATGGACTACTGGGGTAGGGTTTGCTTCTTGCTCTTTTAACTTATTGATTCACGCGGGAACCCCTCAGATCCTGCCTTCTGTGCCTGCTGTCAACTTCTCCTAATAAAAGATCCTTTTGGGATGAAATTGTTCCAAGAGTCCTGCTTTCTTGGGAAGAGGTTTGGAAGCGGGTCCTTACAGTGGCCTTACCATGGCATTATAAAGCAGTACTTAACACTTTACGTGATCTTGATTCTATTCTTCTATGACTAGGACTGCATTGGCTTTTTTGGCAACTGGCACACACTACTGGCTCAGATTTAAGTGGTTGTCTACTAGGACTTATGGATTCCTCGTGCAGTTACTTGTATTGAGCCAAGTTCAGTATTCTATACCTGTGCACTTTGTTTTTCTTGCACAATTGAATTTCATTTTGTCAGATAGAGCCTAGTGTTCAAGTATATTGAGATCCCACTGTATTTTGAGCCTATCTTTTGGAGCGTAAGGATCTGCCTCAACTAGATCTCCCAAAAAAGTAGAACTCTTGGAACAGGCATTGTATCATAAAGGAACTTTTATTGAGAGTTAGTGATAGCAGTAGAGCAAAGCAAGGTCTGAAGAATTCGTACACAAAAGGTTACATCATAATGCCCAGATAGAACTCTTCCCTCCAGTTTCCAATCGTCTGGTTGAAATCCAGCCAATCCATAGGTGCTATGTTGTTTTGAAAACCTGGTGATTTAGCACCCATTTCAAGGTCTCTCTCAGTTTTGTTTCTCAATGGTCCCAGGCTCTGTTGTCTGGAAATAAGGCAGATGTCTTCAGGCCACATTCCTTTCTCATGGATGGAGGCACTTTCACAGAGGACAGAGCAGAACAAGGCAGAGCAAGACAAATACATTCCCCAGCCCCCTCCCACCAGAATGGCATACCCCAAAACAAAGTACAGAATAATAAAAGGCATGCAAGCAAATTAGAGGGTCTTACATACGGCCGCCCCTAATAGAACAACAAATCCACCTGTAAAACAAAATAGGGAAGGGAAAGAGAGGGAAACAACCACATCAATCAGGTTTATCTGGATAACATGCATGAAACCGCTTGAGTAATCTGGGGGCTCTAACGTGTTTTTTATAAATCCACTCGTTTTGCGAGGCAGGAAGATCTTTCTAGGCAACCAAATACTGAGTAGAGTTGTGATTCTTGCGAGAGTCTAAAATGTCTTTGATCTCAAAGTGCTGCTCACCCTCCACCATAATGGGCGGTGGAAGAGGAATGGTGGCACGCCTTAACGCAGATGTAATTTCAGGTTTCAGCAAACTGCAGTGGAAAACTGGGTGGATTTGTCACAGGCTCTTAGGGAGTTCTAATTCTACTGTGACTGGATTTATTATGTGCTTAATAGGGAAAGGACCGATGTATTTTGGCCCTAGCTTTTTAGAGGGTTGCAATGATTGTAAAAACCTGGTGGAAAGGTAAACTCTGTTGGCGCTAAGAACCAGTCACAAGCATGTCTTGAGAGAAGCTAACGACGTCTGTCTACCATATTCTGCACCCCTACAAAACTCTATCCCCCACATGAAAAGGTTTTGGTTCCATTTTTTTTTATGTGCCTGAGCCTTATATGCTGCTCTAGCTTCATCTAGGGTTTTCCTAACCACAGGCCAAATGTTCTGTAACTGATATACCCAGTCCTTAAGAGAAGGAATTGCAGGTTTGGTGGCAGGCAATTCAGGCATAGGGTGAAAGTCTGTCCATTAGCTGCTTGAAAGGGAGTGAAACCAGTGCTGGAGTGCACCGCATTGTTATAGGCCACTTCAGCAAATGGTAGCAGATCAGTCCAATTATCCTGTTGATAATTAATAAAACAGTGAATGTACTGTTCGAGAACAGAGTTCGTTTGTTCTATCCCCCCATTCGTTTGAGGATGATGACCAGATGACAGTCCTTGATCAGAATCTAAAAGATCCCAAAAGGCTCTCCAGAAGTTAGAAGTAAATTGGACACCCCTATCTGAGAAAATACCCTGTGGGGCTCCATGCAGCCAATAAATATGCTGCACAAATAATTTGGCCAGTTTTTGCAGTCGGAACCTTCTGACATGGAATAAAATGGGCCTGTTTTGAGAACAAATCAGTAACAACCCAAATGACAGTGTTCCCCATGCTTTCGGGCAACTCCACAATAAAAGCCATACAGATCTCTCTCCAAGGTGCTGAAGGGTTCGCTACTGGCTGTAGGAGCCCAGGCATTTTTCCTTGCCTAAGGTTAGCGACTGCACAAATAGGGCAGCAGGCAACATAACTTTCAATGTCCTTCTTTAGAGAGGGCCACCAGAATTGTCTTTTAAGCAGGTGGAGGATTTTTATGAACCCGAAATGTCCCACTAACTTTGAGTCAAGACTGTCTTCAACCTGGGATCTTGGATCATGCAAAGTCCACCCACATTGAATCCCTGATTATCAGAGCCCAGATGAGGTGGGTGAGACATGTCATTAGAATGGATGACCATCATATGCATCATCTGTTGCTCAATTAATTTTCCAAGAGACACTGTGAAAGAAACCCTATGCCACTATGAAATCCAGTCAAGAGAACTAGGAGCTGTGACTGCTGATAGAACTCATTGGCAAACCTTATGCTATGAAATCTCCACTGGCTTTGAAGATAGGCACCACAAAAAACTGATAGAAAATTTAATGCAGAGTCACAGAATAACACCCACAGTTACTACAACAATGGATTTTCAGTGCCCCATTGAGCTAGACTCTATGCCTCCAGACTGGGACTGCAGAACCACCTTCACGTCCACAGACAACACATCTTCTTCAAAGTCAAGGATTTACCATATATAATACAGGATGTAATTGACAAGTACCACTTTCAAATGCATTTTATCTACCCTCTCCATTTTGAGACTGACTTTGAATATTTAGCGATTTTTTATTGTGTTGCTTTTTTCCTGATCACCTATTTTGATAACATATTTTCTGAGTTTTAGAGAAATTTTCTTTTGCATAGATATAGTCCCTTCATTCAGCACCATCATAATTTTGAACAATCACTGAAGGAATGGCATATCGAGGACTACCTGTATAGATGAAAAAAAAGTAAAAATTGGAAAAACTGAAGAGAATTCGAATTATATTTGACTGAAATGCATTATAATATAGTATTTATTCACTTTTAATGTTACTTGGAATATTAAACAATTATTTTCTTTCTATCACTATCAATTTAATAGAGTTGAAGAGTGGTACAGTACATAATGTTTTTCCTTAAAGAAAATGGTGTTCAAGTACCTTTTTATTAATTTATTTACAAAATTTATTGGCAGCTTACAATTATATACACACACATATAGTACTGTGTAAAAGTGTTAGGAAAATGTGCAGAAATGATTTAAATTAAGAATGCTTTCAGAAATAGAAGTATTAATAGTTTATTTTTATTAACTAACAAAATGGAACATAAATGAACAGAAGAGAAATCCAAATGAAGTCAATATTTAGTAGCAGAGTTTAACTGTTTCTCACCCTGTTTTAAGCCTACCACATAGCTGTTTCTGTTTCAGGTAATGACTTGGTTTCAATCAACATATGAAATTGAGGGTCATTAGCACTTGCTTGGTATGATTGGTTAATCACACATCTAACTTTAATCCTACAAAATCCCTGACTTTGTACAAGTGTAAGAATTGATGCTGTTTTGAAGGCAAAAGGTGGTTACACCAATTATTGATTTGCTTTGGATTTCTCTTCTGTTCTTTTAATTGCCATTTTGTTAACTGATAAAAAATAAACTATTAACACTTCTATTTTTGAAAGCATTCTTAATTTGCAACATTTTTGCACAACTACCTAACACTTTTGTACAATACTCTGTAACACATGTTAATACCAACTGTTAAAATCCAATTACAAATGGAGAGGGCAGGGGCAGGATGGGGGGGAGGTGAGATCTGTTTTTACTCAATCAATCATCTCCACTGAAATGCTCCTCGCCCCATTGCCCCAAGCTAACTGGGAAAGCCAGGTCTTTAGGTCCTTACAAAAGGTCAGGAGGATTTGGGCCAATCTCACTCCAGGAGGGGGGGTGCAAGATATTCAGAGGGCAATAGCAAAAAAAGTCCTTCTCATGGACCCTGCCAACTAGAATAATCAGGCCAACAGCATGCCTCCTCTGTTTACAAAAAATATATAATTGTTTTCATTTATTATTTGAATATGGAATCATATTACAAAGTAATTTCAAAACCAACCATACTCCGTGAATATTTCTATTATAGGAAACTGTGGAAGCATTTTTTAAACATCCTTCTGTGAGAGATGACTCAGATCTTGAGGGAAGAACTTCTTTTATGTGGGCAGCTGGTAAAGGTAGTAATGACGTCATCCAGATAATGTTAAAACTGAAACTGGTCACCGATATCAATGTGGCAGATAAATATGGTGGCACAGGTAAAAACTCTTTGTGTGTGCCTGTGTGTGTGCATATGTGTGTGTGTAGCTAGGATTTATGATTTACACTTAAGATTTACAATCATAACTTACACATACTAATTGCTCAATTCACCACAGAGGGAAAGATAATAGTTTGTGCTGTTGTTTCCTAAGGAATATAACTGCATAACTAATATTTTGAGATAATTTAAAAGGAGAGAATAGTTGCTATAGAGCATCTAAGCTCTGAGACATTATTGTTCTTATTATCCACATTAGATTAGTTTATTCAATTGTTTGTTTAATTATATGTATTTTTTAGTTTATTAATTTTCCAAAGACTCATCATGTATGACCCAAGGAATGGAGTTTAAAGTTTCTGTATTATAAGCAATTGTTCACTTCTGTTTCTATTAAGTCATTAGCTTAGCATTTATCAGATATGCTTAATAGGGTTTTTAAGTACACTAACAAATTCCTCTGGAAATATTATCTTTTACAATCTTAAATGTGCAACATTTTAAATCATTTGCTTAGACAAAAAGAATATTTGTACATTCTTACTTTTTCTCACTTTCTAGAGAACACCTTATTCAAGAATCACACAAAAGATTTATGACTTTACCATCCCTCATTTAATACTCCTGCCTAGCTCTGTATTTCACTAATATAGTGCTACCAGATACTAGAATCAGAGCTCTGATAAGGAAAGTTGATTTTTTATGTCAAATTAATTTGTCAGCTTTTTCTTTTCTAAATCTCTTTTGTTTCATTAGCATACATTAATGCTTCTCAAATCTAAGTAAATTATCTGGGTAGAAAAAATTGGGTAAAATGATTTTTATGATACACAAACTTATTACCCAATCACAACAATTTAAGTCAGTATAAATTAACTTAAAGTATTTTATTTATATTTGGTAAAAAGCACTTTCTGATAAATTGTTCTGAATAATGGAGGAAAAAGCTTGGTAAGCATTGGGCATAACATTATGCATATGCATCATGCTATTTTTTCAGGATTAAGTAATATTATACAAAATGCAAAAAAAGAAATACTAATAACGTATGAAAGAATTAAAATTAAGAATTAAGATAAAAAAACTAATTAAATTTAATTTATATCAACATCATTCATGATATCTTTCTGTATTTGCAAATCATTCTTACCTCTTAAAAGAACTGAAACTGACAAGCTGAAAATCTCAGGCCATATAAAATCATTGAACAAACAAAGGGTACATGCTTTCTATTTTCAGGCTGGGGAAAAAAAGCTGAAAAGTCTGCTATCAGAAAATGATAGAAATTTAAAACATGAAGCCAAAATAGCTTCATGAATGGATGGAAGCCATCCATCCAGCCATCAATCCATTCCCATATACATGGATTTCTATATTAGATTCCTGTGTTCCGTAATTCTTCTCCATAAATATGACTTCAAGTATCTAATAAAGTTTTATCTTACCATGCTGAGTTCTCAGAAGCTTTACTTTTAACTAGTTACTGGCAAGAATTGGGTGGGAGAGTCTGAAAAGTCTTGAATCAAGTAGTGCCTGCATTAAAACTGACACATCCACCATCAATTATTAAAGTAATAAATGTAAAAATTATATTTTGCACCTTTTCCTTTTTTTTAAAACAAGTTTTATTGTTTTTTTTCATTTTACAAACAAGTGCTTAAGAAACAACGTGGTGGCAGGGCAATCAATTGTCCACAAAACAAAGTCATATTCATAAAGTTCAAATTAAGTCATTAAAAACCTCCTCTTTTTTCCCTCTAATGACATATTATATTCAAATTGATATATTACAATACAACTAAATCAATCATAGCAATCCTCAATAATCTTTCGTCTAAATAAATCTACAAATCTGAATCCTGTATTGAGTTTACCTATTTCACTTACTATGTTCCATATTTCTAATCTAAATACCTAGTTAACACTTCAGGGGTCTCCCCATAACCTTTTTCCTTAACATATTCAATAAGCATTTATTAGTATCATTTCATCCTTTTTTTCTTATTCCTCTTCCATTACGAATAACTATCAATTCTAATAAGAAAAGAAAATATTAATTCAAATCAGAAAGGGAGAAAAAAAACGAAAAAAAAACAAAAAAAACAAAGACAAGACAAAAAGAAAGAAAAGAGAAAAAATACCTTTCTATTTCTATTATTCTTTATAATCTAACAATCAATCCCTCAATATCTGTATCAAATTTCTTTAACGTCCTCCCAAAATTACTGTATCCAAAGCATATTAATACATAAACAAAACAAGTTATTATTAAGTTCAAACCTTAATTAGTTTTTATTCAATCTAATCTCTTATTTAACTGTTTTAAGCCATAAATCAATCCATATCTGATAAGCCATTAAAACCCATTACCTAAAACCTTAAGTCACATCCTTAAATCTTATTCTGGCTTTCCTTTTATGCCAAACCGGTTTCCATAACAAGGCCTCTATATCAATGAACAAGTCACTCTTTATGCCTTGTAAAATCCTTTGAATCAACCAGAGACGTCCTCTTTTCTGTTGTAGAGACCTAGCTCCTTTGTAGGTAGCTCCTTGTTGTTTTGAAAAGTCAAATCTCCACATTTGAAACTGTTGAATAGCCAACTCAGTTATGTCCAACTTTGTAGATGATAGTTGTTTATCCAGGCTATCATAGTTCTCAGCTCGTTGTATTTGTCTGTCCATTTCTATTGGTTTTAAGGATGTAAGTGAATTACTTACAATCCTTTTTGGTTCCTCAGAGATCTCATCCGTACGCATATAAAGTGGAATAAAGTCTTCTTTACCTTTGGTTAGTCCCGCTTCTGTTATTTTTTGGTCTCTAGAAAGCTCAGATAAGGTCTGGGAGTCAATTTTTTGATTCAAAGCAGAATTTCTGTTTTTTATTTCCATAGTAAATTCTTTTATTTGCAAACGTATTTCATCAGTAGCTTCGTAAAGTTTTTCCAGTATACGTTTATAGTCAAGTTGAACCAAGGGTTGTTCCATTTCAAAAATAATTAGAAACAGTCTGTATCATTTAGTAGAGGCTATGTAGAAAATATTTAATCAATGTCCACCCCCACCAGTACAACTGTTAATTTCCTTTGTATTTTTCCTTTTGTGGTAATCTGAAAGTCAAGGTCAATCTGAGTCACCAGAAAAAGGGGAAAGCTGCAATTTTAGCTTTTTCCACATGGTGTCCTCAGTACAATGTAAAATCTGCTCCCATAGACCAAGAATCTCATAAACAAGATCAGGAAACACGGAGGAAAAAAAAGCAATTCAAGTCCAATAGCAGATTCAATATTAAAAGGTTTTCCAAGACCCCAAAGTGAAAAAAAAGAATAAAAATAGAGGTTAAAAAAGTCACTTTAAATTAATTCAATCCATAAGCTTCTTTTTCCCACACTCACCAACGCCGCCTTCTCAGAGCAAGGAAGTAATTTCAAAAGTGCTTTTTACAGGCACAAAAAAAAGGAAAAATCAAGAGAGGGAAGGTAAAAAGTCTCACCCGGCTCAGCCATGGTGGTTCCTGTGCTTAGATGTTCTTCTGACTTCTGGTTTCAGCAGCTAGGTGAACGGCCATTTTACCAGTCGTTCTTTCCACCGTCGGCCCAAAGGAGCAAATCTCGGTCCCTGGAAGAAGCTGCTGCTCTCCCAAGGACAATGAGGACCTCCTCACCGGTAGCCACCCTTCCAAGGCGGCTTTTCGACCCAATTAAGGGGTCTACCGGCAGCAGAGAATCAGCTGGTGAGGAGAGCAGTCTCCTCACGCAGCTGCGAGTGCCGCAATCCGGAACCGGAAGTCGCACCTTTTCCTTTTTTTGAGTATCTCATCAATTCCATCCCATCACAACTTCTCTCTCTCTGTTGTCCCTTTTCATTTTGTAATTTAATACTGTACTCATTCTTTCTAGTTGACCAAACCATCCCAATCTCTCAATAGGTCTCTCAATTTTATATTCAGTCCATCTAATTCATCACCCATTTGCTCTGGCCTCTTTCTCTCCTTTTCATACATGGACCTCTTAAGCAATTTATTCCCACTTAAGTTATTAATATTGTGGCACAATGGCTCTGGGCAAAATTAGGGAAGCGATTTCCCATTACTTTCTTCTTTGATTTGTTTTTCAAATTTCTAGTCTGTCTACAGACTTGGGATTTTCTAGTGCCCTGTGTTCCAAGTGTTTATTTTGTCAAGATTGACTATAGGTGCTGCCACCATCTGCTGGAAGAACTGAAGTTTTTTTTAAACTACCCCTTACCTTTTCATATCTTTATTTTAATGTATGTTGGATATCAGATTTGAATTCTGCTCTTATTTGAATTTATTTTCATTATTCTTTAACAAAGTTGCTGATTTCAAAAATAGTATCAGATTTTATTTGATCTAGATTTATATCACAGATCCTACATACATGTATCCAGTTTACATACATTTTATATATAAATTTTATACATAAATTTTGTGTGTGTGTGTGTGTAAATTTTGTGTGTGTGAATGGAGCAAGCCTGAGACAACAACAAAACAAATAAATGGAGAGAGTGATGACCAGCACACCTGCATGTAAATACCAATCCGTCATCTTACTGTCTGGTTTAGGTTTTGTTATATTCACTATTTTAATTAAACACTATTTAATAACTGCATTCTTTTTGACATCTTTCAGCATTACATGCTGCTGCCCTTTCTGGCCATGTCAGCACTGTGCAATTGCTTCTAAAACATTATGCCCAGGTAGATTCTGCTGATGTAATGAAACATACTCCTCTTTTCCGAGCTTGTGAAATGGGACATAAGGAGGTAATACAGATACTCATTAAAGGTCAGCTCCATACATTTCTTCATAAATATATGGATGTCTTTAGCTTTTGACTTGAGCAAAGAGTAATGATAGTCAATATGGTGAAGGATTAGTTCATGATTGACATTGGAAAAGATAATATTTTAACCAATCTTTTTCTAAAACATTTTAGATATATTTAAGGGGTCCTGTTTCTGAAAATTTAGAATTTTGAAGAAACTTTAAGCATGGCATAAGAATTAGTAACTTATCTTTGTAGTAGAAAATAGACTGATTAGGAATTCTCAGACATAGGAACAAATTCTGATTTTCAGTATTATAAGTATTCTATCTAATTTGGATTAGAATCTTTATTATAAATTAAAATGTAATAATTTAGATCATGGAGGGAATTTTTAGACTGCCAAGTTTTCAACTGACTGGTTTAAAACCTAATTATATATCATCTATTTCAGGGCTTTTCAACCAGTGGTACGGGTACCACCTGTGGTACATTGGCACCTGGCAGGTGGTAGTGGGGGAAGGGAATGAGAGCGCCGCCGGGCGGGCAGGCAGGTGTCTTGCTCGGCTGTGCCTTGGGGGGGCACTTTTTTCAGTGCCATTGTAACTTCGAACAGTCACTAAGCGAACTGTTGTAAGTTGAGGACTACCTGTACTTTATCACTTTTTTCCTTTTTTGGGGGGGGTCATCAAGTTTTTGACACCTTGCTAGGTGACTGGTGGTACTCGGATATTGCCATATCCTAAAAGTGGTACAATGGGTGAAAAGGTTGAAAAGCCCTGATCTATTTTGTTATCAATCTTCATAGTCCTAAGCAGTTTTGGGAAAACTCTTTATTATGCAACCTCTTTGAAGATTTTAGATATGTCTTAGAATTTACTCAGGCTAAGAAAATAATCAGAGAAAGGCACATTTAAATATAAAAATGAGACTAGTCTGATCATAAATCCCAACAAAAATGTATGCAACATCCTAGATGACAAGTGGCTAGTTAAGTTAAGTCATTAATTTTACCATTTTAGAAAGATTCTTTCTTAACATAGCAGTTCTATATGGGAAGTGTAATAAGGGCTCTATAGTTTGCCAAATTGGTTAGTTTCTGAACTCTGAGTGTAATATCATTGTACCTTTATTATCAACCTATTTCTCAAACTGCAAATAGTTAATTCACTAGGTTCAAGGGAGGAGCAGTGAAGGAAAAATAAATATAAAAATATGTATCATACCAGAACATAGCAACTCTATTATCAGGATGTTAATTTTTTATGTGGGAAGAAAGAAAGAAATTTGATTACAGAGGTGTATGTGCCTTTGGTGTGCATGGAGAAAATATACTTCCATTGGGATAGCTTCACTGGCAATCTTCTGCACATATACACCTGAAAACGGCCATGCCATACCTTTGAAAGTGGGACCTTGACACTTTGAGTAAGGAAGTTTGAAGGAATTATGCATAGCCTCAGCATACACTTTTTTAGTTTGTTAATAAACAACTGAGGCAGACTCCATGGATTGACATACATTATTGTTGCAGGAGGAGCAAGAGTTGATTTAGTTGATCAAGATGGCCACTCTCCCTTACACTGGGCAGCTCTAGGAGGAAACCCTGATGTTTGCCACATATTGATAGAAAATAAAATCAATCCTAATGTACAGGATTATGCAGGAAGAACTCCACTGCAGTGTGCTGCTTATGGAGGCTATATTAATTGTATGGTGCTACTATTGGAAAATAATGCAGATCCAAATATCCAAGACAAAGAGGTATGTATTGTTTTACTATATTATTTATTATAATAGTTCAGACATGCACACATTGCTGTTGGAATATATTGGTTGGATATCAAGCTTTATCCAAGCACCAAATTCCAGTAGAAATTCATAGTGTAAAAATTGGGTATCATTTATATGCTTGGGGAATTTATATTAGAAAACAATTTCCCATTCATTGAATTGAATACTTTTTCCAAGGGAAATTGCAAGTGTTGTTGGACTTGTCCAAATAAGAAATCTGGCATGGAGTCATTGCAAATATTTGCATCTAGGGCAAAAAACATTAATTTGAGCATTAGGCTGCCTCCTAATGTAAACTGTAGATATATTCTTCTGTCTCCTGCCTAGATCATGATCTTAAAGGAGAGAAAATGTTAAAGACCTAATTCTGCTAACTTTCTATCCTTGTGCATATACCATGCACCTGATCCAAATGAGCTCCCCTTGCTGTTTTCTGTATTAGTTGGAGAAAAAGAGGAATACCCTGAAGAAGCTGAGAATGAGTGAGGAGGAGAAGAAGCTGTGAGGGCTAGATAAGAATTCTTTGGTATTATTCAATCAGTAAGGCCCATTAATTATTTTAGGATGATCCTACGCTGACTAACCAATTAGATAATCATGATTTTGATAATCATAACATGAATTATCAAGAATTGAAGTAGTGAGTGCACTTTTGGGTGGTTATGTTGGCAATTTTGAGATCAAGCAAGTTTGGCGGGAAATGATTTGTGGGTTATTAGGGTGGAGGGTAAAGAATAATTCTCATCAGAAGATTCTAAGAAAGAGACTTGTAGAGGGATAATAAGGAATGCTGTGAACAGTAAATTTTGCCCTTCTCTAGGAACCACCGAAAAACCTGAAAAGAAAACAGAAAAGAATAGAAAAAAGAATAAAAAGTGCAGGAGAAAAGAAGAAACAATAAAAAGATAGAAAATAATAAAGAAAAGGAAAAGAAATATGCAAAGAAGTGACTTCCAAACTTCATTGCAACATAGAAATATATATCTCTTCATCCCATATACCATCTATAAAACTTTTCAATCTCATTGTCAACAAAAGTCCATAAATTTGCAAACTTTGCAAAAAATGTTTATTTTAATTTTGAACAAATAAACCAACTTTATATCACTTCCTTTTATTTCTAACAGTCTTTAATTCAATCAGAGTATCCTAGGATTTGCTTTCTCTTCAATTCTTTTTTACGTATCCTACAGATGTCTTCAAAGCTTTGACTAACCTCTGTTGTAGATGCAGTAATAAAACATTTTCCAGGTCATTCTCTTGGTTCATAATTTGTATTTTCCTTTTAATTTTTAAAACGTCAGCCAGTTTCTGATGTATGTCCAGGAAAGTATGCTTTTCCGAATCGTTCTTTTGGCTTGTCATTTGTACTTCACTTTTGGTATTTTCTCTGTCTTATTTCTGTTACTGTCATTCCATTAAGTAAGTCCATAAATTTGCAAACTTTGCAAAAAAAAAGTTTATTTTAATTTTGAACAAATAAACCAACTTTATATCACTTCCTTTTATTTCTAACAGTCTTTAATTCAATCAGAGTGTCCTAGGATTTGCTTTCTTTTCAATTCTTTTTTACGTATCCTACAGATGTCTTCAAAGCTTTGACTAACCTCTGTTGTAGATGCAATAATAAAACATTTTCCAGGTCATTCTCTTGGTTCATAATTTGTATTTTCCTTTTAATTTTTAAAATTTCAGCCAGTTTCTGATGTATGTCCAGGAAAGTATGCTTTTCCGAATCGTTCTTTTGGCTTGTCATTTGTACTTCCACTTTTGGTATTTTCTCTGTCTAATTTCTGTTACTGTCACAATCTATTATCGAAGTAGACATAATCTCTTGAAGTGTTGATATTGTAATTACTAATTTCTGGCTCCATTCTTCAAAGATCTCCTTTAATATTTCCAGTGTTACAATATTTTTGTTATTTTGTAAGTTCCTGTATTAATTGACATCAAGAACAATATTGTATTTTTTTTCCTTTTTCTTAGAATCTTTAGCTCCTTTTAATGTCCAGTTTCAAAAATCATCATTTATCTTATAATAGCCAGGATAGCCAAATTAAATCTGTTTACCACAAAAACCTGCTTATTTTTATAATTAAAACTGAGGAGAAGGGTGACTAATCTCTAGAATCTCTAGAACACAAAACCAATCACAAGTCCCAAGAAAACAAATCAAACAATGAGGTAGGCAGTGATGAGAAAAAAGAAAAATTCAATGATCAGGAGATGCAGGAAACATACCCATAGACAGGCATAAAAGTCTTAAATGCTTATATACAAATGCTCAAAGTTTAAGGAACAAACAGGGTGAACTAGAAGCAATAGTACATGAGGGAGGGTATGACATAGTTGGCATAACAGAAACCTGGTGGGACGAAACCCATGAATGGAATGGAGTGATGGATGAATACAAATTGTTCAAAAGAAACAGGTCTACAAAAAGAGGAGGGGGAGTTGTACTATATGTAAGAGAACACCACATAGCTGCAGAAATGCACATGATCAAAGATAAAATCACTCCAGAATGTATATGGGTCAATATAAAAGAGGAAAAAAGTGACATTGCCATATGTAGGAAGCATACCACAGTAGTAATAGGAGCCTTCAACTATCCAGATATCAACTGGGAGACAAGCTCTGCAGTTAGTGGGAGATCAAACAGATTTCCAACCAACCTAGCTGACAACTTTGTCACCCAAAAGGTGGAGGAGGGAACTAGACATAAAGCTATACTGGACTTTATCTTTACAAATAGAGAAGAAGTTATAGAGAGAATTAAAATTGTCAGAAGCTTGGATGAAAGTGACCATGTCATACTGGAATTTAATATAATGCAAACGCTAGCAATAGAAAATAATCCAACCAGTGTCTTAAACTTCAAAAGAGCTGACTTTAACAAACTCAGAAAGAACCTAGGAAAGACCCCATGGATGAAAATCCTAAAAAGGAAAACAACCCAAGAAGCGTGGAGAATCCTGAAAAATGGATCATAAAATCCCAGACCAGCACAATACCATTGAGAAAGAAAAACAAGAAATTGAAGAAGAAACCAGCATGGCTACATAAAGATCTCTCTGACAAACTGAAAGCCAAAAAGGACAAATACAAAAAATGGAAAGAGGGCATATAACTAAGGCTGATTATCAACAGACAGCCAGAACATGCAAAGATGAAGTCAGGAAAGCAAAGGCTCAGAACGAACAAAGACTTGCAACAGAAATCAAGGATAATAAAAAAAAGTTTCTTCCAACATATTAACAAGAAAAAAATCAAGGAAACTGTAGGCCTACCAAAGAGAGAAGATGGCAAGGAAATAATAGGCAACAGGGAGAACGTAGAGCTGCTTAACTCATATTTTGCATCAGTCTTCACACAAAAAGAAACTATAGCCCAACATACCCCCCCAAAAAAATACTGCAAAAGACATACTAGAAACAAAAATTGAAATAAGCAAGAAAATTGTAAGAGAGCATCTATCCAACCTTGAGGATTATAAATCACTGGGACCTGACAGATTACATCCCAGAGTTCTGAAGGAGCTGGCAGATGTTATCTCAGAACCATTGCACCACATATTTCATAAATCCTGGAGCACCAGGGAAGTACCTGAGGATTGGAAAAGGGCTGATGTGGTTCCCATCTTCAAGAAAGGAAAAAACCCAGATCCAGGATACTACAGACCAATCAGTTTAAGACCAATACCTGGGAAATTCTTAGAAAAGATAATCAAAAAACAGATCTGCAAACACACTAGAAGCAAACAAAGTCATAACTAGTAGCCAGCACAGGTTTGTTAAAAACAGATCATGCCAAACCAATCTTATTTCATTCTTCAATAAAGTGACTAAACTAGTAGAGCAGTGAAATGCTGTGGACATAGTATACTTAGATTTCAGTCAGGCATTTGATAAAGTAGACCACAACCTACTCCTTGGTAAGCTAGAAAAAGGTGGAATAGACAACATCACCACCAGATGGATCTGTAACTGGCTGGCAAACCATACTCAATGAGTTGTCCTCAACGGCATTACATCCACATGGAGAGAAGTAAGCAGTAGGGTACCACAAGGTTCCATCTTAGGTCCAGTACTCTTCAATATCTTCATAAATGATTTAGATGAGGGAATTGAAGGGGAACTCATCAAATTTTCAGATGACACTAAATTGGCACAAGTATCCAACACCCCAGAAGACAAACTCAGGACCCAAAAAGATCTTGACCAACTTGAACAATGGGTCCTATCCAACAAAATGAGTTTCAATGTGGAGAAAAGCAAAGATTTACATTTAAGTAGGAAAAATCAAAGGTACAAGTACAGATTGAGAATAGAATAGAATAGAGCTGGAGGGGATCTTAGAGGTCTTCTACTCCAGCCCCCTGCTCAAGCAGGAGAACCTATACCATTTCAGACAAATGACTGTCTAGCCTCTTGTTAAAAATTTTCAGTGATGGAGTGGCCACGATTTCTGGAGGCAAGCTGTTCCACTGGTTGATTATCCTCACTGTCAGGAAGTTTCTCCTTGATTCCAGGTTGCTTCTCTCTTTGATCAGATTCCAACCATTCTTTCTCGTCCTTCCCTCTGGTGCTCTAGTGAACAAAGTGACCCCTCTTCCTTGGCTGCAGTATTTGGGCGAGACCTGGCTTAAAAACAGCAACTGTGAGAGGGACGTTGGAGTCCTAGTGAACAATCACTTGACTATGAGCAGAAGTGTGCAGCAGCAACCAAAAAAGCTAATACAATCCTGGGTTGTATAAGGAGAGGCATAGAATCAATATCACGCGAAATACTAGTACCGCTTTATAAAACCCTAGTAAGAGCACATCTGGAATACTGCAGCCAATTTTGGTCACCATATCACAAAAAAGATGTTGAGAGTTTGGAAAAAATTCAGAGAAGAGCAATTAAGTGATCAAAGGCCTGGAGACTAAAATATACAAAGAATGGCTATGGGACTTGAGTTTGGCTAGTCTAAAGAAAAGAAGAAATAGGGGAGACATGATAGCAGTATTCCAGTATCTGAGGGGCTGCCACGAGGAAGAGGGTGTCACGTTATTTACCAGAGCACCAGAGGGAAGGACGAGAAACAATGGTTGGAAACTGATCAAAGAGAGAAGCAACCTGGAATTAAGGAGAAACCTCCTGACAGTGAGGACAATTAACCAGTGGAACAGCTTGCCTCCAGAAATCATGGGCGCTCCATCACTGGAGATTTTTACGAAGAGATAGACAGTCACCTGTCTGAGATGGTATAAGTTCTCCTGCTTGAGTAGGCGGCTGGACTAGATCTCCAAGGTCCCTTCCAGCTCTATTCTATTCTAAATGTTTTTAAATCCCCAATCTTATAGTAGAAGCCGATTTTCAAATTTATCTGACCCATAATCCATGTATAACTTTTTTAGATCAAAATCTTATTTAGCTTATTGCTGTTATTACAAATTGTTTAATTTCTTAATCTTATAATTATTAGTTGAAGATAAACTTTACTGTCGGACCTGCCCCAGTCAGAGCTCTTAGGAAAGAAAGACCCTCGACTCCATTTGAATGAAGTAATAGGTTCTTTTACTAAAGGTTTCTGGTTGCAGTAAAGTCAGGCTAGAACTAAGATTCTCATGTGAAAAGAAACATTTTTCCCCCTCACTCTAGCTCTTCCCCCTTGATCAGTTCATCTTCAGCCAATAGAGAGCTCCATAGATGTTTTCAGAATCTCTGAGATGTTTGGGGCAATCCACATTCCATTCTCAGAGTACATGAGCTTGAACACTGGCACAAACTGGTTCTGCGCCTCTCTGTTTTTTGTCAAACTGCCATTCCCCCCCCCCCACTCCTTATTTCCCATTACATTCCCAAACATATTTATTGCCCATTTGTCCCCCTTGCCCCCTCTCCCCTAACCTTTGATGGCAGGATGCCAACAAGGCACCAAACCATGTCTGATGAAGACTTTTCTTTTTAATAAATAAAATGAAAACTTTATTTTTTATAAAAAGAACAATTAGAAAATACTGCTTTTTACATTGGATACTCCAAATACAAAGCTTCATGGCTGAAAGAAATATTGACTTCCTGCAAAGAAAAAGGGATAATTTTGGGAGCACAATTCCATTAAGCTTCTTGGTATTCACAATACTGCAGTCTCCCTGCCAATATAAATGCCAGCCTGTGTTTGAGTTTGAATTCACACCTTCTATCAACCATGCATTTTAGCAGGTCTTCTTGGAACATAGAGATATAGCTTTATTCTTTGAAAAGGTAAAGTCAGAACTGCAGGCCAATGGAATATAAATATGCTGGGAATCTCTCCAGCAGCGTTGACAAAGGGCTATATTTACCACAGAGATTGGAAAAGGTCCATGGAAAAGAGGTAGAGGATTTAGCTTATCGCATAAGAAATAGGTGAATGTGTTAAGCAGTAACTGTGCTAAATTGAACTTAAGTAAAATATTCTTTAGCCATTGCAGGAATTCTGTGTTCAGTGATAAGCATATATCATTCATATTTCAGAAAATGTAGAACATGTAGTGTTTTCTTTCTTAAAATTGTACAGTCCTTATCATCATCATCATCGTCATCCTTTTGTAGTGAAAACCTCTTTCTTGCCCTTCCTTCCCATATTTACCCGATGAAGACTTTTCAAACTTATCATTCTGAAAGTCTCTAATAGCTTTAAGATAATTAATAGGTAATTTCTGAAATTGATTAGAAAATAAAGTTTGTGAATTCTGTGTGCTCTGCCACAATTGCTATGAAAATTGTTTATCTTGTTAATTCTCCTTGTTAGGAGCAGCTGTCTGAAGCACATGTAGGCAATCTCTCATCCTCTTCTTATCTGGAGACATTCCAAGGAGCTGGCTACTTCTCATTGCTGCACTTTTGCGGATCTTCTTCAGTTCACCATAGCTCTCCCAGAAGTCCCAAATCTGGATAGAACATAATGATGCACAAAATTTAAATATTATATATTTTTCTCTGTTTTCCCTATAATTTTCCTTAGTTTCTCCATTTAGAGGAAATTATAAAAATAGTTTTAAAATTAGTATTCATAATTCATCATTACTGTGAGTTGTTTTTACTTTATTATTTTCTACACCTGTATGTGTTCAAAATAATGTAAAGAATGCATATAGTCTGATGATTTCTGTATTTGAACTGGAATTTGTCAATATAAAATTTTTTTTTACATGTTTTTGTTCTACTGACCATAGGGAAGGACAGCATTGCACTGGTTGTGTAACAATGGCTACCTTGATGCTATAAAGCTGTTGTTAGGATTCGGTGCCTTTCCCAATCACATGGAAAATAATGAAGAAAGGTACTGTTTATTAAATAATATCTTTGTTGACTTTCTGGGATTTCTTCCGGGAGAAAAAGGATGGGTCTCTTCACCTATGCATTGATTATAGATATTTAGGTTTTAGGTTTTAGGTTTTATTCAATTTATACCCCGCCCTTCTCCTAGCGGACTCAGGGCGGCTTACAGCAAGTTAAAAAACAGACAAACCATACAAAATACTAAGTTTAAAATACAATTAAAATGAAATATTGATTTTTTGCCGTTTCTTTTTAAAATTATGTTAAAAACCAAATTAAAATCAAATTAAAATCAANGGAATAGCCATGTCTTGAGGGCGCGGCGGAAGGAGGGGAGATCCGGAATGACCCGGATCTCTGGGGGTAATTCGTTCCATAGGGAGGGGGCTCCAACCGAGAAGGCCCTCCCCCTGGGGGTCGCCAGCCGGCACTGTCTGACTGACGGCACCCTGAGGAGACCCTCTCTGTGGGAGCGTATCGGCCGATGAGAGGTAATTTGAATGCAGTATCAGTGGAGAATATGTACCTCTTGCCCCTCATGAGAGACATGCTGGCTCACCTGTCGAAAGGGAAAATTTTTCAAAGTTGGACCTGCGGGAGGCTTACTATTGGATCAGAATAAAAGAAGGGGATGAATGGAAAACTGCTTTCAACTACCCCCTGGAGTGTTTCCAGTTCAGGGTGCTCCCCTTTGGACTACAGGGGGCACCAGCAGTGTTCATGCAACCGATTAATAAAGTCCTCCATGAACACATGTATAAGGGATTTTTGATGTACTTGGACAATATCTTGATCTACACTGGGATAAAGGCAGAGCATGTGAAGCTGGTTAGAACAGTCTTAAAAAAATCACTCCGCCAAACTATATGCCAATCTTTTGAAATGTGAATTTCATAAGGACAAAATTGACTATTTGGGCTACTGCATTTCACATGAGGGGGTAGAGATGGATCCAGAGAAGATGTGGGCTGTCCTGGATTGGCCCCTCCCCGCACCAGGAAACAGTTACAAAGTTTTCTGGGATTTGCCAATTTTTACAGACAATTTATCCTCTCATTCACACAGATTGCGCTCCCCATTTACAAATTTGTTGAAAACTAAGGGAGAAAGTAAGCTGCAGCCTAGCCAGCTGTTAAAATGGACAGTAGAATGTCAAGCTGCATTCAAAAAACTTAAGAGACTTTTTTCCGTGGAGCCGATGCTGAGGCATGGAAAAACCATTTGGGATTCAAGCTGATGCTAGTGATATAGCTGTAGGTGCAGTAATGCTTCAGAAAAACTAGGAGAGTCAATTGCAGCCCTGCTCTTACACATCCAAAAAATTAACTGAGACTGAACAGTGGTGGGCTGCTTGGGAGAAGGAAGCTTATGCAGTACGATGGGCCCTCCTAACTTGGAGGCATTTTTAAGAGAGGAGTAAATCCCTTTCCAGGTCTGGATTGATCATAATAATCTTCAAGTGCTAAAAACCCCTAGGAAGCTGTCTCCAAAAAGGCATGCTGGGCCCAGCACTTCCACTGATTTAACTTCTCCATCCACTATTTGCCAGGGGGGGGAATTTTCTAGCAGATACTTCGTTGAGAATGCCGCAATATAACAATGTGAAGTCGGACCGGTTAAACCTTTAATTTCCCCACAGCAGCTGGTGGCCCCGGTCACGAGAGTACAGACTTAAGAGCTCTCTGCCAATTGATAATGAAGTGGTTGTGGAATTCAAAAAGGTGCTAGAGAATGATGAGTGGTTTTAATATAGTAAAATTGAACAATTATTAGAATAATGATTTGTCTGCATAACTGCAATAATGATGTGTCTGCATAATTGCTAGAACAATGATGTAATGCATAATCACTGGGAAAATTCAGTGGGAAAGTTCTCTGTCAGTAATATGTGGCAACCAAATGCGCTCTGCACATGGATACTTTGTATGTAGCAAAACCTCCCATTGTATGCCTGTGAGAAGCGTTCCTAATGTATCACAGTGTGTATTTCAATGTGTAGCCCTTTGTTCTTTAAGGAGGGGAGTATAAAAACTGAAGTCTAATCCCGCCCTTCTCGTTCAGAATTGCCTATCTCTAATATGCTCTGAACCTTGCGCAAATAAACTTCTCTGCTAACCCCTCTGGAATTCGTAAGAGTTCTTTCGTTTTCCACAAGAGTTTCAAGACGATAAAAATCTCTGTTCAGTGAAAGACAGCCTAGCCTGGGTCAGGGGCAAGCTATATGTTCCTGTAAAACAAACACTAAAGGTGGGTGTGCCACAACTCAAAATTAGCAAGTCACTTTGGGTTTGTGAAAACCCTCCAAAAGACAATTTTGGTGGCCTTCTCTAAAAAAGGACATTGAAAGTTATGTAGTTAGTTGTGATACCTGCGCAGCAGCTAAACAAGTGCAAGGGGAAATGCTGGGACTCCTACAAATAGTGGCGAGCCCTTCAGCACCCTGGAGAGAGATTTCTATGCATTTTATTGTGGAGCTCCCCAAAAGCGTGGGAAACACTGTCATTTAGGTCGTTATTGATTTGTTCTCCAAACAGGCCCATTTTATCCCATGTCAGAAGATCCCAACTGCAAAGACTGTGGCTAAATTGTTTGTGCAGCATATCTATTGGCTACATGGGGCCACAACATATAATAATAGATAAGGATGTCCAATTCACTTCTAAGTTCTGGAAAGCCTTTCTGGATCTTCTGGGTTCTGATCAAGGACTGTCATCTAGTCATCATACTGAAACGAATGGGGGGGAAACAGAATGAATGAACTCTGTTCTAGAACAATAACTTAGATGTTTTATTAATTATCAACAAGATAACTGGACCAATTTGTTACGGTTTGCTAAAGTGGCCTATAATAATGCAGTGCACTCCAGCACTGGTTTCACTCCCTTCCAAATGGTTAACAAACAGAGTTTCCTCCCTATGCCGGCCATTCCTTCCCTCAAGGAGTGGGTACACCAGTTGCAGAACATTTGGCCCATGGTTAGGAGAGCTCTGGACGAAGCCAGGGCAGTATATAAGGCCCAGGCAGATAAAAAATGGATGCAGCCTAAATTCTTTCATATAGGGGATAAGATCTACCTCTCCACTAGGTTTTTACAGTCATTACAACCCTCCAAAAAGTTAGGTATGAACTCCCCCGGAGTCTGGACCTCTTCTCCGCAGCTCGGAGTGTCTTCACTCTTTGGAGCAGGGCTAGACGTCGCTGCCACTGCTGCTACTTTGTATCTGCTTGTGAGTAACTTTTGAACAGACGGAACCTGACAGGGGATTTTTTTTTTCTGCTTTAGTTAAACGGTGACTTTAACTCAAAGATCTTATTGGGATTTTTGCTATTTGTTATAAGTGAAAGTGAGAAGAAAATGGCCGCGGAAGCGTTGTTTCTTTGTA